TTCCTTCCTTCCTTCCTTCCTTCCTTCCTTCCTTCCTTCCTTCCTTCCTTCCTTCCCCCAACCTTATATTCCCAGGTAGCTGCCCAGCCCCAAAATTTCTCCATGCCCTAGAATTTAAATTACCAGCCTCTTCCATGGCCTGGTCGTTTCCACTTCCCTGACTTCCTTTCTGCTGTCTGTCTGAATCATGTCTTCTTTGCAATGGTTCATCTCAAGTCCTGCCTCTCCTTCAGCCCAAGTTCTCCACTCCAACCCCATTACTGTTTTTCTTTTCACAGCTCTATATGACAGAATATGGCACATTTGTCTTGGGTGGGGAGCAGTCAGGAGGTGATTCCCTTGATGTAATTATTAACACCTTGACCAGTTTGTAAGCTTTGAAAGGAAGGAACTGTGTCTTACAGAGACTGTATGGTATAGGAGACAGTTTGGGGAAAAGGAAAAATACCTAGTATTTAATCTTGGCTCTGTGACCTTTAGCTCATACCTGTCTCTAGGCCTTAGTGCCCTTCTTTGAAAACAGGGAAAATGATTCCAGGTTTTCTCTTCCTTACACAGGGGATCAAATGTTTAGATCAACATCAAAGGCAACAGTATTTTTTAACCTGTGAAGCACTCTAAGAAAGTAAGGTGTTATCATAAGAGGTGCCATCGTGTTATAAAAAAGGCAAGGAACTTTAGGAATCTGAACTTTGAGTAAGATTTTAATTCCTGTTCTACCTCTTCCTCTATATGTGAGCTTGGAAAAGTTTCTAACTTCTCTGTAAAATGACAAGACAGACTTACGAGGATCATTAGTGCTGGAATTGGCTTATACACCAGTTTGTAAGAGCCAGTTGTCAAATATTTAGTAACTTTGCAAGCAGGTTGTTAAACTGTTATTAGCTTGAAATCTGCCATGGTGGGAGTATTTATCCCCAGGAAATCACTAACACTACAAATTGGATTGTTGGGTTTTGTTTTTTTTCTGAAGAGCTGGTCTACCAGCACATCACTGAATTATGTAAACAGGGCTCTGTAAACCATAAAGCTCTTTCTTAATCTTCATTAAAAGTAGTAATGGCAACAAGAAATGTTCTGTATCCACAGAACCTAGCCTTTTGCATGGCACAGCTCTTAGCACATATTTAATAAATACACCTTTGATTTAACTTGGGTTCACTCTTGTATTATTTTAATACTTCTGCCCTGAGCTAAAGGAGCACCCACCCATCTTCACCTTTCTGCAAACCCCTTTCTATAAAATTTCATTTTAAAATCAGGTAACAAAAATAAAAGCCTGGTTCAGTGCATGACACACACATTAGACCTTAAAACTTCTATGTCTGTAACTGACCTGATTACCTTCTTTCCAAATCTCCTTTTCTTCTGGTATTTCATATTTCAGTTAATGACATTGCTCATCTATTCATTATCCCAAGTAAGTTATCTATAAGTTATTCCTCTCCTCTCCCCTTTCCTTACCCATCCCTATGCCTAATCAATCACTAGATCTTACCAAATCCACCCCTTAAATCTACCCCATCATCTTCATTGCCTGCTTCCTGGTTCATAAACAACCATCTTCTCACTGTGTCCTCACATGGCAGAAAAGGCACTGGAGCTTTTCGGGGTCTCTTTTATAAGGCCACTAATCCCATGCATGGGGACTTCACCCTCATGACTCAATCACCTTCCAAAAGCTCCACCACCAAATAGCAAGACAATGGGGATTGGGTTCAACATATGAATTTGGGGAGATATAAACATTCAGTCTGTAGTGACATATTAACGTAGAATGCTTTGAATATCTTGAAAAACATGACAATATAACCTCCACCCCTGCTCAATCTAACCACCTAGAATTAATTATTGTTAATTCTTTAGATATATCCTTCCAAGCTTTTTTCATGTAGATGTGTTTGTGTATCCTTTCAAATACATTTAAAAACAGCTTATGTTGTATATAGTGTTCTAACCTGTGTTCATAGTAATATGTCATGAATTTTCTCATATGAGTAAATACTCTACAGCATGATTTTTAATTGCCACGTTGTATTCCATCATGTGGTTATACACCACTGTTTAATCCCATTGTTTTAGTGTTTTTATTATTGTAATCAGAAGTGGAGCAGTGTGGATGACTGAAGAGAGGGTGATCTCCTGTCCTCCTCCTGTTTCCCCAGGTTTTGGAGCCCTCTCTCACATCAGAACTCTATTCAGATAATCCTCTGAGTGTCATCTCAGGGCCTTGGGCACACTCATGGCACGATGGCTGACCCTCAGGAGCACCTGAGCTGCTCCTCCTCCCCACACTTACCCTTGAGCGAAAACAAAACCTTCAATGGAGTACAAGATGAACTCACATCCATGGGGAGCCACCATTCACCCAAGCTCCTTAAGGACCAGCAGGACAAGGGGGGGGTGCAAACAGAGCTACCTGAGGGCATGAACAGCCCCATCGCCACAACAGTGTTGACAAGTGTAAGCGAGGACTCCAGGGACCAGTTTGAGAACAGCGTTCTTCAGCTAAGGGAACAAGATGAATCGGAAATGGCCGTGTCTCAGGGGAACAGCAACACTGTGGGTGGAGAGAGCGTGAGTGGAACTGAAGACATCAAGATTCAGTTCAGCAGGTCGAGTGGCAGCAGTGGTGGATTTCTTGAAGGACTCTTTGGATGCTTAAGGCCTGTATGGAATATCATTGGGAAGGCGTATTCCACTGACTACAAATTACAGCAGCAAGGTAAGCCGCAGTATGGACCTGGAAGATGTTTCTTGTGTAAACACACCATCATCAATAACTGGATAACCTTGGCCTGTGGGTAAATTAAAGAACTAGTGCCTAATGAATACCTATATCAGTTTCCCACAGACCTTCTGATGGAACAGATTCATATTTGATTGGGTTTTTTTGGTCAAAGCCCATATTTTGTGGTTGTCTAGTTCAGTGGTGTACAAAGTAAAATACAGATAAGATGATCGATGGTGTTATAAGGAAGAAAATGTTAGAGCTTCTCTTCCTCTTATCTCATCATTTTAAATTTCTATTTTTGTGCATGTTTTTATATATATTTTGTATTTTCATAAAGTTGTGTAGATATCTAATTCACATAATATTTGCAAATTTAAAATTTTTATTGAGCCTTTATATAACCAGAAAGTCTGATGGCCACTGGATTTATCTAAAACCAGACAGAAGCCACATGGTACTGCCCCTGATGATTGCAGGCTGGCCTGAGGGAGTAGTAAAAAGAATTCTTTTCATTCAGTCAAAGAACAGAAAGCTCACATTTTGAGGAAAGAAAAAATATCAAACCATTCTTGATTGTTTCTAGATCCCACTGCTTTTTAAAAAGTAAAATTTTAACTCCCATCACTGTGTTGCATTTATATTCATATATCCCAATTCAAGCATTATGATTTTGAAGTAAAGAGAACACATGGCCCATGTTCTTTATAACTTCATTTATGTTCTTTAAAAGAACATTTTATTCCTGGTAACAAAAGTAATATATTAGAACATTTGGGACATACAGGTAAGTTCTCCCCAAAAGTTAAAATAATCTGTGATCGGCAGTATCCTGAGAATAACTACCATTAATGTTTTTGGTATATATTATGTTAGTCTCTTTGTGTGTGTATGTGTGCCTTAAAAAGTCATACTGCTTTTCACTTCATAATGTGAACATTTCCCGTATCATCAAATATACTTTGTCAGCATCATTTTTAATGGCTATATAATATTAAATTGTATGAACATGTCAATAATTATTTAAGCAGTCCTCTGTTGCTTGACAATTTGTTCCCTATTTCTAGTGATTATAAGCCACACCACAATGGACATCTGTCTATTACTTAATTTTTGCACGTATCTTTGAATACTCCTTAGGATAAATTCCTAGAAGAAGAATGATTGGGTTCAAAGGGTTTGTTGCTTTTAAGGCCCTTGATACAAATCTTTGTAGCCTTGTGTAAATGATTCAGTTGTTATGAGATGTCTCATTTAAAAATTTTGGAAGGGAAAAATATGGACCAGAAATAAGATTCTGTTTTACTTATTTTATAATTGAATGTTGGACTCTGTGATCCTCCCTTAAAAATATATTCATCTATTTTATCAGGACAGTTGACAGCTTTTCCACAACAGCCAGTCTACATTCATCACCATTAACCACTTTTCTCGTGCATTCTGCTTTTCCTATTTGTGAAATACTCATCCTAAACCAATACCAACCTCTCCCTCTATACTCCTTCTCCATAAGTATATTGGAATTTGCTGGTATATCTGTCAATTCCAGGTATACTTTTCAGTATTTGTCAGCCAGAGCCTCCATTCCAGCTCCATGCAGAAATTCTTTGTCAGTACCTGGATTTTCTCTATCTGTCTGTGTCTCTCTCTTTTTCATACATACTCCATTCCACCTTTACCCCGCTCCATGATCTTAAGGTTTCAAGGAAATTAAAAAATCATTTCTTGTCACACAAAGGTTGGGGACTCCTATGTTAAACAGTCTTATTATTTTTTAATTTGGGAATAAAGATAAGCACCAAGAGGAGATTAAAAATCACTTGTCATCCCACATCCAGAGATAACTACCTTTAAGTTACTATATTTTAAAAGTTCCCTCTTCTCTGCTTAGACACAGAACCTATAAATATCTGTTATGTGATAAACTACATCTGGTCTTTAGAGTCTAAAGTTGTCCGGTCTCATAATTATTTTGGTGATAATTTGAAAGTCTCAGGATCCAAATGACACATAAAAGGTATGAAAGACACATTCTGTGTTTGGGAAAAGGAGACTGTAATTTTTTTTTTTATTGTTCTATAAACTTGTACTTAATTTGTCTTCCAATTGATTATGTGACTTTCAGAAAGGCTTATTGCAGGAATAAATAAGAAACAGGCTTGGTCAGCTTAAGTTTACAAGGACACAGCAGCTGCCTAACTCTTCAGCAGATGACAAGATATCCTATTGTGGGCTGGTGTTGCCGTGGGCTGTGAGAGAGATTTGCTAGCCGGAAACTAAGTGTAGTTTTTTCCTTGTCAGCCCTGGGATCAGGGAGATAATCTCTAATCCTGGATTACAGTCAACCAAAGGGTAGCTCATGTAGCAGATGTGTCCCTGGGTTTGGTACTTATGAGAAAATTTCACTAGATTTTTTAAAAAATTTAATGATGTCTTCATTTCCCATTTAGTTTGTTGGTAGTAAAGTTCAAGTAAGGTAGTACTTACTATGTATAATTGAAATCTTTTATTTCCAGTTAGTTCCCAGTCTCAAAGCAAGTATTGTCATAGACATGTCTGAATAAACAAAGGAGAGCTTATGCATTAAAGTGGCTGGGCATGTGGCTTTTTCTCAAGCTTAAGAATCATGGTAGATATTGGAATTAAGATAGTAGCCATAGTGACGAATCAGAGAGAAGATAAAAGCTGAGTAAGAGAACCTAAGGGCCAGATGTAAAAGCAGCAGAAAGTCTGGGACTAACCCTGGAGGGAGCACAGCCAATTTCCATTATTATGAGGTTAGTGATCTCATTTACCAAGGATCTAAGCACCCAATTTTTCATATTCTTATTGCTGAGGTTTTTTCCCCTGCCATTTTTCTGTCCCTTGATATTGACAGGGACTTTGGGACAAGACAAGAAGACTAAATCACAACCATCAATTTTACTTCTGGTAATCAGTTCTAGTAAAAAGATTGATTCAAAGGTGGTTGAAGTATTATGTTACTTTATACTCTGTGTTCTTGAATTACCAATGCCATCACCTTCATTTTTCCATGGACAATTAAGACTTGGCGGAATAACACAGGCTTGAGCTGCTGTTGGTAGGGGAACAATTTATTCTTTATTTTAATATTCTCACCCTTTGGTATTTGAGTGCCAAATTTGTATTTCAATAATTCATTTATTTCTCATTTTATAACAATCCTTAATAATAGAACATGGCCAGGTGGCTCAGTTGATTGAGCATCCTACCTTGTACTGGAAAGGTTGCGCTATTCAATTCCCGGTCAGGACACATGCTTAGGTTATGGGTTCAATCCCCAGTCAGGGAGCATATGGGAGCATATGGATCCATGTTTCTCTCTTTCTCTTTCTCTCTCCCTTTCCTCTCTCTCTAAAATCAATAAAAGCATATCCTCAGGTGAGGATTAAGGAAAAAAATACTTAATAATAGGTATTATTTATTTAAAATATTTATTTGTTCAAAAATATAATAAAATTAAAATAAAAAGGCTTTTGTTTAAAAATATATATATTTTCTTCATGTCTTCAAAGAAATAGAGAGGAAGCTCCTTCAAGTTTGTGAGATAGACAAAGGATAGACAAAGGATAAATTTGACAATTCATATAAAGTAAATGTGAGTATTAAGCAAATGTAAAGAAAATATTGTACATCACTGGCAATTGAATTAATACAAACTTATAAAATACTATTTTATACCTAATTAAATGAGCACCAAAAAATAATTGGCAATATTCATGGCTGGCAAGATTGTTGTAAAAGGGTCAACATTGCTGCTGTCAGCGAAATGAACAAAATCCTTTCGGGTAGCAACTTGGAATGTATACCAAGAGCCAGGAAACTGTACTCTTTAACCTAAGGATTGAGTTTGAGGAAGGAATATGAAGAAAGACAAAAGTATTTTAACTTCAAATTTAAATTAGCAAACCAAAAGATGGAAACAATTAAGTTCCAAAAAAAGACAAGGCTACAGTAAACAACTCTTCAAGCTTGTAATAAAAATTATATAAATACACAGGGAATATATAATACATGAAAAAGAAAAAACTATGCATCACATACAAATTTTACATATGAACAAAGACTAAAAGAGAATTTTAAAACTGTGCATGGGATGGCATATCAGATAAAATACGTTTTTCTGTTTTTCAGATATTTTCTAATGTTCCTAGTATTTAACAGTAAATAAAGATTGAGTAGCTAGGGAAAAAAAGATACCCAAAGATTGTCTTATTTTAGTGATTACTGTGTTAAAAATAAGGGAAACTTGGGCAGTTATAAAGTTATTTAGAGAAATATTACCCAGTTATATTCTTGCCCCGGTTCCGCCCTCAGAATGGTCACAGTGACTCTGTTTAGTTCTTCACTGGACCCTAATAGTAAAACTCCCTTAGAACCTGCCATCAGTGCCTGCGCCTTGTGTGAGCTGCACGAATAAGCCCACGGGAATGAAAGAGAGGCTGCTTGAGACACTTAATATTCGTCAGTCATTAGAAACCACAAAGATGTCGAAAGCGGTCAAGTCTGTGACTTACTGCTTCCTTCCAAATCTCACTTGATGATTTCTTATTTGTCAGTTATCTGTATTTTAGAGAGATTTGCTTTGATTTAGCATATACCCCCTTTCAACAGAGCAGAAACCTTTAATACTGCTGATATCAGAAGAATGGGACGAATGCCCATGATGTAAACCCCCCTTACCATAATTTTTTCTGCTCTGTGTAGTCGTATTTTGAAGGTCATGTTTTAACCATTGTGATGAGAAGCCACACTTTTATTAAGAATCTACAGAATTTCTTTTCTCTTAAAGTGAAGAAAATTAGAGAAGAGGGAAATGTAGATCCCTTCTAGATACTAATGAACTCTTTCTGTTCTTGCTGTACATGGCAAATGGTGAGCTGATTTGCTTTCAGGACCAGAATACCTTCAAAGCCACCTCAGTGTTCTGCAAATAACGGCCTTTTCAGGATCAGTGATCCAACAGGAATTCCTCAGGACCTTTGACGCTATCATGGCCCTCTCCTCACTCTGTGGGGCTCCTGGCTCTTTGATGTTCATTTCTTACCACTGCAGTGAAAATGTGCTGGCAGAAAGGGGAACCAGGAGAAGGAGCAATGGATTATATTCTTCTTTTTAAGTTTCACAAGATTAAAGCACATATTGACTGAATTTTTGAAGTGCTTTATTTCAAATAGCATTTAATTCATTATAAAAGTCATATACACTTATAGTTAAAATTTTTTAATACGGAAAAGATAAAAAACAATATGAATCACTAATAATACTACCACTTAGGAATGACTCCTGTTACATTTTTGATGTAAAAAAAAAAAAACTCTAAGAAAAAGAGAAACTTGAAAATGTTGTATCTATATGAGTAAATATACCTGACTAACGACATGCTTAGTTACTTCACAAGAGGCAATGTGGTATAGGGGAGAAAGCACTGTCCCTGAAATCAGCCAGTTCTAGAGTTCTAGGCCCAGTTCTGCCACTTACCATCTATATGACCTTGGGTAACTTACTTAACCACTCTGTATCTTAGTTTTCTCATCTTTAAATAACCATAACAAGGCCAAACTTGTAGGATTGTTGTAAAGATTAACCATGAGACATGTAAAGCACCATGCTAGAGCCTGGCATACAGTAAGTACTAAATAAAAGGTAAATACTAATACAGGATTATGCATAATTAGGTTCTTAGGAGAGTATCATTGAAAATTCATTCAGCAAGAATTAATTGAGCATCTGACTAGAAATTCAAAGAGAAATAAAACAACACTTATAATGGGTAATGGGGTAGGGACAGTGGTTGAAAGACAGACAGGTGAATCAACTGAAGATGCAAGCTTGAAGCGAGGACATGGGAGTGTCAGTATATGTTTTGTTTGGAGGAGAATATTTTGGAGATCTCTGATCTGCTTGATTTCACTGGTTAAAAATTGATACAAACCTAATACATGGGAATATTTGATCTGTAGTATCAAGGCACATGGAAAGGTTCTAGCTTTTGGTGACTTATCAGGTGGAAGACAAAGAGTAGAGGTCATTTTGGGTGATGGTAAAGTTGTTACCTCTGGAGTGGCCTTGTAGGATGGGCCCTAAGCAAATTCCAGGATCTTTTTAAGCTTGTTTCTCGTTTGTGTGCCTAGATACTTGGGAAGTGCCATTTGAGGAGATCTCAGAGCTGCAGTGGCTGGGTAGTGGAGCCCAAGGAGCTGTCTTCCTGGGCAAGTTCCGAGCGGAGGAGGTGGCCATCAAGAAAGTGAGAGAACAGAATGAGACGGATATCAAGCATTTGAGGAAGTTGAAGCACCCTAACATCATCGCTTTCAAGTAGGTCAAGGCTTTTTTTTTTTTTTTTTTTTTTTTAAGCAATAGAGAGATTTTCTTTCCCCCAGTATATACATATACATTCCTGCTTTGAAAGACATGTTAAGAACATGCTTTAGACTAAGCACCATACTAGGTGCTTTGGTAGTGTACCAAAGAACTATTAAATTAGAGTCATGTCTTTAAGGAGTTTCAAATTGAAGAGTTCTTTTTGCCAAAGGATACCCTGCTTGGAAGGGATGCAGATGGGACAGAGAGAGAGAAAGTGGATTCCTGCCAAGCAGTCAGATCTGCTCAATCAACCTCATTTATCAAAAGGATGACAGCAGCCTCCTCCAGATAACCTGAACATGCTAACATTCAGTTAAGAAAACAAAGCTAACAGCTAAGTGATCAGAGAACAATAGTCCCTGTGTAAGAAACCCTTTTTATCAGTTTCTATTAGCATCGCCTCTTAAATATTAACTTGTAATAGAAGGTACCTTCAGAGTATTCTCCCTGCCTCATTGTTTGCTGGGTCCCGTTTCAAGTAATGCCAAACACCCAGCTTTCTAAATGTAATGTTGCAAAGTTATTGGTGATGGCAAGTTATGTGCTACATTTCACAAAGTAGTTGTTTTCAAGATTTATAGTTTAGACCATTATAATATTGGCAGGGATCTCTAGCCAAAGGGGGAAGCTCAAAGGTAAATTTGTGGAAATCATCAAATTTGGCGGTCCCAAGTTCTAAATATGTGTAATCTCTTCTGCCTTGAGTTCCCTCTCTTACTAGCCTTCAAATTTTATCCTAGGCTTGAACAAATGAATGGTGAGTAGCTTTAGTGGAGGGAAGGTGAAGAACAGAAAAGGTAGCCCTTAGTTGGGGTAAAAGTATAGAAACTAGAACGTGTGTGTGTGTGTGTGTGTGTGTGTGTGTGTGTGTGTGTGTGTGTGAAAATAATATGACCAATGAGGCTACAGTTAAAAGTGGAATAACTTACAAATCCCCTTTCCCTAAACTAGAAGGAAATTCTCCCAGCCCCCAAGAGGGATCCTTTCCTGATAAAACTCTCATTATAAAGCTAAACATGTAATGTGATCATTTTTAATTGGAACCATATCCCCAAAGTAAGGAATAGAAATATTAGGTACAAGTTTTATAGAATAAGTTTAAATGAGTATTAAGGCTGAGTTTTGATCCCCAAACAAGACTCCTTATGAGAAGGGGAATGGGTGTAAAATGAAGAGAAGAATTCAACTGGGATGCTAAACAAAGTGCTTGGATTTTTTGCCTTGTGGGAGGACCACCCATGCAGAGGGCGTGGGAGAGAGCTTCAGCTGCTGAAGTGATTCTATCACTGGTTGCCCTAGTTGGGCCACGAGGATGTGAGACTAAAACAAAATGCTCTAGAGACCAATTCTAATCTTCCCAAAGATGATCATTTCCAAAGACAGTAAGAGGATTATTTTTAAGCCGACTACTAGAGACTCACTTCTTTCTTTCATCTTACTTCACTGAGAGGATCTTCACTCCCAGTGTGCTACACCATCCTAAATGGAAGGAAGGGCCTTCCATTTAACTACGCCTAACTAAACCTTGAGGCTTAGGTCCTTAGAGTGCTGGGTTTGAGAAGAGAGCATTCTATAGATTAGCATGGCCTTTTGGCCTCCTGAAATGAAATACGCTGTGTCTCCCAAGTAAAAGGCCTTTCCAGGTAGAATGTATGTCCCAAGGCGATGGGTACTAGAAGCTTTATTTTTCCTTCCTTTCTTTTGCTTCTTTCTTTTTTTTCTTGGTTCCCCCCCCCCCC